GCCCTCCCTGCCTTTCTCTGTCTTCTGGGCTACTCTGTAGGCAGTGGAGATGGTCCCACCCCCTTATTCTTCCTCTCCCAGATGGCTCTCCAGGCTTTCTTTCTGCCCCTCCCTCACCCCCAACATCCACCTCAGTTCCCTGAGCCTATTTTCCATTTGAGAAAACTAGAGTGGAGCTCACAGGCCTAGAAGGTTCCACTGGGGGAGAAGAGCTCAGTGCAGCCCACCCATCCCTCCAGGCCAGCAGGAAAACCTTGTCCCCTGCACACTGTGGCCAACTCAAACCCTTATTCCTGGAGCCTGGCCTGGCTAATATCCTGGGCACAAGGTCAGTGTTTACTGTCCAGTCATCACATTTTGAGCAAACCCAGGGGCCAACGGCTGCTGTCCAATTCAGCTGAACAGGGTTGGTGACTGACTGTGTTCCTTCTCCACTCTGTACTTTGCTTCCAGAAACATTGTGGTTCTGAGTCTCACTCTGGATCCCTGCAGGTGCCACTGCCATCTGTGGGCAGAGCCTAGGGACTCTGTGGGTCCCAGTGTCTGGAGCACCTTATATCTCCCTGATGTAACTAGCTCGGACTGGGCTCAGGTGATAACAGATTAGCAGTAGTGGGATGTGGCCGTTGCTCTCTGTGCCCAGCCTGTGCCAAGAGGTGGGTTCCAGGGACCTTGCTCAACGGTCACTGTAAACAGATGGGCACCTGAAATCCAGCCTGCACCACACCCTGAGGGGCAGAAAGGGTACACACTGGGGGCTGGGCTGGCACCCTGGAACCTGGATTTCAGAAATGACCAGAGTGTTGTGCCCAGAGGGTTTGCACAAGTGGCGGGTGGAGGTAGAGCTGGATGATAGAGCACTTGCCTACCATGTGTGAGGCCCTGGGTTTGATCCTTGGCACCACAGTGGGGAGAAACACACACACACACACATACACACACACACACACGCACACACACACACTGGTTTCCCCTTCCCTGGGATTTGGGCTGTTCTCTGTAGAGAGTGCCAACAACCCACACCTGGCAGAACCCTGGACCACTTCACAGCCTGCTGCAGGAATGAGCATGTGACCCCACGGGGCTGAGGACTGGGAGCTTCTCTGGCTTCCTGTAACTTCACCTGGTGTACCTTTCCCTTTGCTCACTTGGCTCTGCTCTTTGGCTATAGTGAATCCCAGGGTGCGTGTGGCTGTAAACAGGACTGCGAGTGCTCCTAGCAAGTCACTGAACTGGGGCTGCTCTTGGGGACTTCTGGTGCTGTGCTGGCAGCCATGGCATCTCTACTCAGCCTGACACACTGGCGATGACCCCGCCTGGTTCACTTCTTCACAAGGCAGAAGCTTTATTTGGGGAATGAAAGGCTGAAAGTCAAGCAGCAGCTTCCCTGGGGTGGAGTGTGAGCATCCCAGCGGCCACAGCCCTGGTGCCCTGGCGCCCTCCTCCTTGGCACTCTGATGGCCCCTCCAGGCAGCCTGGCCCTGCAGTCCTGGCTGCACAGACCCCAGGTGCCTGACACTGACTCCAAGCCGAAGTCAGGCACAGTTCCTTTGCCCAGTGAGTCAGATCCTGACTCCAGGATGGTGGCAGATTGGAGTCACCCCTCTGTGGGGCCACATAGGGCGAAAAAACCTTGGATCTGCTGGACAACCT